AATATATTTATAAATTATTTTTAATCATTAAAATTTATTTATATTTATTAAAAATAATTATTTTAAAAAAAAATAAATTTTAATTATTTAAAAATAAATAAATAATTAATTAAAATTTCATATAAATATAACACATAAAATTTATGCGATATTTAATCTCATTTTAACTAATTATTAGTTATAATAGCAACTACGCAATAAGCACACTTTCAAGTCAACGTGTAACTAAATTTTTGTCCACATTCTCATTTTTTTTCCAAGTGGATTTTCCATATTATTTGCACAAAAAATAAAAAATAAAAACAAAAGTACCTTACGTTAACCCTTTTTTTTTTTTTCACACGGGGTACTAGGGGAAAGGGCGGGGGAATTGAGGGAAAGGGATTGGGATTCTAGTAATATGAATGAAAATTTTATATAGTAATCACACGAGGCACGTTACTTTACGCTAATTAACATGTAACGTAAGGAAAGAAAAAATGGAAGGACCAGAAAAAGGGAAAATATAAGCTTAGAGGGATTAAAAAATAATTTTTTCAATTGAGGGACCAAAAATGAATTTTAAACAAAAGTTGAGGGACTAAAATTGAAGTTTAACCTAGTTTTATTACTAAAGTAGGAGTATGATATTTGTTTCGTATGCAGGTTGATTAATATATATAATACAAGTCTATTTATATATAAATTTTATATATTATATTTATATAAAATTTTAATTATTTATTTTTTTACTTTTAATTATTTATTTTTCTATATTTGTTGAAAATAATTATTTTTAAATAAAAAAATTTGATAAATTTCAACCAATAAAAATGAAAGATAAATAATTAAAATTTATATATATATGTAGTATGTAATATTTATGTAAGTGGATTCTTCCTTACATATATATATATATGGATAATTATACATACACCCAAACAATCAACACCCATCTCAACACCCAAGGCTTATGAATAGTAAAATTACAAATTTACCTCTCCTCATTTTAGCCTTGGGTGTTAAAATGAGTGTTGATTGTTTGGGTGTATGTATAATTGTCCTATATATATATATAAATATACATACCTATTGACAACTTGAGTGAAGAGCGTGAGTTCATCAAGTGTCCCATGAAGATCAAAGATGTCATCAATTAAATAAATCAGGAAAATAGATTTTGTGAGCTCAATCCTTTGGTCTGATAAGCTTGGATCTGTAAGGCATACCGAGGACTCCAAATACCATTTTGTTGGTTGGTCCCTTGCAAACGGCCACTCCTCAGCCGAACCGAGGTCCTTCCACCACCTAACATTAATATAGATGTGAGCAACAGAGGGGAAGAGAGGAAGGGCTTAATAAACATCAAATATGGAAACTTATTTACTTGGAAACTTGAATTATCTCTTTCTGGTGTAA